CTCTCAAAGATATGAGGAATCTTCGCGAAATCCCTGAGTCAGTCCAGTTTTGTCTTCCCGTCTCAGGCCAGGACGTCAAGAATCCACCCCCGGGTTATTTTTCGTGCTATGAAGCTTTTCTGCTGAACAGCCAACTATGGTTCCCCATTCCTCGAGCCATCGTTGAATTCCTGGACAGATTTGGCGTACCGCTTGGCCAGCTTCGCCCTGGTGGATTACAACACCTTGTCGGGATTTTGGTATTAGGTTATGAACGCGGGATGTCCCTTAATGCGGACTATCTTTCGGCCATGTTGGTGTTCAAGGGAAGAGAGGACGGCTTTTATCTAGCCCCTCGGCGAGACATGACGGTCATCAGTGGGCTTGCCTCGAATGATCATGACTGGATCAAACGATTCTTCTACGTCAAAATCGATGACGCGTCTGTGGAGGAAGGCTGCATTCCTTTGTTCAAGGCCGCGTGGGCGACAACTGGTATTTTATTGACGTGATCTCTATACCTATATACGTATAGATTTTGACTTTTTTAGCTTGTTTTACAGTGCCTACCCTTGCCAGGCCGCTGCTTGATTATTTCCCGGAGGTCATGAATCTTCTCCGCGGCGGCCCGCTTCATTGGGGATACTTTTCTCCCAAGAGGGTTCGTCGCGCCGTTGCCTACTATTCATCCGGTTTTTCTCGCGACAGTCGTACCGAGGTTGGCGATGATGCGGATGAAAGGGAGAGAGCCAGATCTCCGCAGGATAGGGAAGTCCCGATCGGTCACGGTCAAGCATTTGACTACGACATTGATATTGAAGATCTTATTAACTTTTCGGACTCTGAATTTGGTCCAACCGAGACGTCAACTCGAGGGCCGGCCGACACGCCGTTTGCGAAGGCGTCGCGGCTCTTAAACAAGGTTCGTTGGTCCTTTGGCCACTAAAAAATTTTTACATATTTTTTTTTTTAAACATGATTTTCCGATTTACAGGGTATTCGCGTTATGAGCGAGGCGGCGGGTGCGAGTAATGCGGAACTTCGCAGGGCCGAATCTAGGGCCGCGGCGGCAGAGGCGGAGGCTGCCCGTATCAGATAGGAAATCGATGCCAATTTCTCTCGCGCCCAGAATTTGGCTGCAAGGGAAGCCGCTCGCGTGAGGGAGGAATATGAAGCTGAATCTCGCCGGGGTTTAGAGTTTTCCGATACGATGGTTCGCCGTGCTCGCAGAGCGGGCAAAAGAGAGGTTGTCGCGGAGTTCATGGCTCGTCGCGAGCAATTCGTGCCTCTTTATGCGGAATTTGAAGATGCGCAAAGAGCAAATGGTGATTTTCGTGAGTGTCGGGGTGTAGCTGGAGGTTTGCACCTTACCCAGAAGCCGGACTATTCATATGAGGTCGCGATTGCGAAGCAGGAAGCGCGTCTGTCAAAAAGAGAAAAGAGGAAGAAAGAGTCCGCTAATCCTGGGAAGCACATGTGGGACCAGTGGAGTCCCATCGTGGTGTCGCCAGATTCGATCGAGGTCGGACCTGGGATATCGGACGTGGATGGCGAGGTTGATCAGTCCGCGTTTGATGATTTCGATGTGTGATATTCTTAATTCTTTCGATTTTGTTG